GCTGACGTACATCTGGATGTTCAATTTCGAATTGGAACGGATTCCTGGCAGTAAGAACCGGGCGGACGGGCTGGGTCGGATCAACTGGGATAAGCAGGAAGGGGAGGCGGTGGAAAATACGCCCCCAGTTGATGGATTTCTGGATCAGGAAGAAGATGTTCGTCTTCATATCAACAAATGGTCGCCGCGAGTGCCTAGCTGTGTAGGCTATCCTATCTGGCAAGCGCCGAAGGGGTATGAAAGGAGGAATGAGTTAGTCCTTAAGCCCTTTAAAGAAGAGGATCCCTGGGGCGGTAAGGATGTTCAGTGGATGATGGAATTAGCAATGGCCAGCTCGCATAGCCTGGTGGAGGATATGAGGACGATTGAGGAAGGACCTGGCCAGGTAGAACGGCATGAGGATTTGATGGGAGGAATGTATCTCCTCGTCAATACGTTATTGCAGGAAAGCCTAGACCAGTCAGACTCGTTGAACCCGACAGGGAATGTGGACGAAATATCCGAGAGCCAGGACGACGAGTTCGAAGAAGGGGAAATTAAGGAGGCYTTTCGTGCAGAGGAGTACGACGGAATCTACCTAGAGCTGGGGTTTCTTTTGTCATGTGAAATGCGGCTAAGAGATGCGAGCGATAGGGCTCAAAGGATGCTGCAACGCTACTTAGTGCGAGACGGTCACCTTTTCGTAAGAAGGGAAGTCGGGAATCCCATGAGGGTCGTCTGCGGTAGGAATCGTCAGATCGACGTCGTAGCAACACTACACGATGACATTGCAGGAGGGCATCGAGGGGTATAAGCCACGTATGCCAAGATAAGTGATCTGTACTACAGGGATGAAATGATGGACATGGTCGGAAAATTCTGTCGATCTTGCGTACCCTGCTAGGAGAGATCCCGTTTAAGGCAGGGAGAGTCGCTGCATCCAAGGTTAGAGCGAGAGGTAGGGGCCGTAGTGCATCTCGATCTGCTTTTTATGCCACTTGGGGATCAGGGCTATAAGTATATCTTCGATGCGCGCGATAACCTATCTGGGTTCGTAGACGGGCGAGCTATTCGCACAAAGACCGGGTCAGTCCTGGTGAGCTGCATCGAGGAGTACTACCTGCGTTATCCTTTCGTCAGGGAATTCGTAATGGACAGGGGATCAGAGTTTACCTGCCAGGAGGTGCAAGAACTGTTAGCAAGATATGGTGTGACAGCCAACTACACTACGGCCGCACACCCCCAGGCAAATGCTCCCGTAGAGAGAGGACATAGTACCATTACGAACCTTCCGGCCAAATGGACCGAAGGTAGGCCTAATCAATGACCAAGATACCTAAGGGCGACTTTCTTTGTTGAGAACATTACAGTAAAGAGATCCACCAAGTATGCACCTGCGACGCTGTGGTACGGAAGGCATGCCACCTTCCCTATCGAAAGCTTTCTTAAGACGTGGAGGCGCCGGGATCTGGAAGTCAACCTGTCATTTGAAGCGTTGCTCGATATTCGGGCGCGGCAGGTCGGGGCGATAGAAGAAAGGATCAAGGAGACATCTGATCAGGTGGCGAGAAGCCTTATGGATGATAAAGCTCGATGGGATCAGTCTGCGCGAGTGAGGAAAGTACCCTTGGCAGTCGGGGATGTCGTGCTTCTCTACGATACGTCGCTGAAGAAGCAGTGGTCCAGGATGCTCGATAAGAGATGGTTAGGTCCCTACCGAATTACACGGGTCGGAGACTTCGGAGCGTACCAGATCGAGGAGTTAAATGGGACTGAGTGGAAGGATTGGGTATCTGGAACGCGACTGAAGAAATTCGTGGCGAGAGAAGAGGTAAGAGAGATGACTTGACCGCCCCTAGAATAAAAGTAACAGGGTGTGTAGGTTAGGAAGGATGCATGCTGCATAAGTGTGGTCTGGTCTGAGCTTGCTTACCCCAACGTGTGCCTGTTGTCTCCTTCGTCTGTTGTGCAGGTCTGACTTTACGAAGACAGCCATGCCAAGAGGAGGGAAGGGGACACGGCCGCCTCAGAGGCCGTTGGGCGCATCAGGAGGATATGAGCGGCATGGGCCTCGCCAACGAGAGAGTACTCCAGTCTACAATGATGGGGACATCGAGCTATTCCTGGACAGTTTCTGGGAGCATGCGAGGCGTATGGGCTGGACCGTCACTCAGGCGATTGAGAGATTGAGGGGAGCAGGTAGGTTCGAAGAGCCCATTGCCAGGATTCGTAGGGAGACGACGACGAGGCAGGAGGTAGAGATAAGGATGGAGGAGTTGCGACCCTCGCCAGTGCGACCTAATGGCAGGCTGATCCGCTTGAAGATTGGAAATGTGTCAGACTTCATCCCCGCGTTTGAGTGGTTCATGCAAGAGCAGGGCATACAAAGAGATGATTGGATGCAGACACTACCACTCTGGACCAGGAAGGCGGAAAGGCCACTGGCTATGCAGATCAGGGACATGGCACGAGATTGGGAAAGTTGCAGGGCACATTTGAGAGAGGCCTTTCGACGGCCAGAGCTCCCTCAGCCCAGAGTCGAGAGGCGGCAGAGGAGTCAGAGGCCGAGGGACCCTGAGCCCAGGGAGGCGAGACCATCTCGAGGAGGACGGAAGGCCCTAGCCAGGAGAGAGCAGGAGCCAGAGGATGAGGAGCGAGGGGCATACCCTGACTGTGGGTTGGGGCCAGTGGAGTTCCATCGTTTTACTGAGGGTGGATTGAGGAGGTCGCCAGCACACACACAGGGGGAGCCACCAGCGTCAGAGGGACCCTTGAGGGAATTGAAGATGCATTTAGATATTTCTCGGTGGAGGGCGTCGCTTCAGGGTGAGGGGCATGGAGAGCAGGCAAAGGAGGTGCCACGAGAGGAGGTACCACAGGAAGAGGTCCGGGGTACTCAGCGAGAGAGAGGGCTGGGTGATAAGGGGAGATGTGCACGGAAGGAAGTGATAGAGGTTGGAGAGGACACGCCCCCACAGACGCCAACAGTGGGTTTGAGACTCGGGGATGCGCCAGGGAGCACCCGGCAGGCAAATGAGGGGTTGCAGAGAGAGGAGACCCCCTTACCTTCGTCAGAAAAAGCTCCTTCGCCAGAAGGGAGGGAAGAAAGGAGGAGAGAGAGGGCAGTTGTAAGGAGAGAAGCTTTGATCCTGATTGATAGGCACCTAGCAGCTCATGCCCTGGAGCACCCAGACCTGGAGGAGCCAGCACCTGCAGAGCCACGCCAGGAGTCATGCCAGCCCGAGAAGGAGATGGAAGCAGAAATCCCAAAGAGGATCGACCTCCGCACGAGGGAAAGGGTGCCAGCTGGAGAGACGACCGAAGAAAAGAGGGCAAGACGAACCAGGCGGATAGATGAGATATGGCAGGAGAGGCAGAGGTTGGAGGCAGCGGGGGAGCTCCCGGAGCAGCAGCAGGAGAGGCAGAGATCGGAGGCAGCAGGAGCACTCCCGGGTCAGGCGCCCAGCGCGCCAGCCAAGGCTCTTGAAATTTCTGAAATGTGGAGAGACTTCTGGGAGCAGAGAGGAGAGGAGCTTCCATCGCCAGTCAGAGCCGGGTTTGGGGTGGCCAGGAAGGCAGAAGAAAGGTTAGATCGTAAAATCAAGTTCCTGGCCAATACCACTTTTGACCGACACTTGTTATTGGAGGGCGATCTGGCGGGGAAAAAAATGAAGGAAGCCAGCCATGGAGTACGTCTGGAGGCTATGGAGGTGGAAATTCAGGAACTTAGGGCTTTGGTG